TGCCGCCGCCGATGCGCAAGATGGCGCCGCCGCCGATGCGCCGCACCCGATGCCGAAGAACCGGCTGCCTCCGACGATGGCGCCGCCAGCACTTGGGTTTGCGCCGCAGCCGCCGCCATCATGCCCACGTCCAGGCGCCTGCTGTGATCGTCGTCGTCGTCGACGTCGTCGCTCCGTGCTCGGGCGCGCGCCGCCGCCAGCATCACCACCATCCTCGAAAAGCTCATCGAGCAGGCTCTCGAGTGGCGGGCTCGGAGGCAGGAGGTCGTCTGCCGGCAGGTCGGGGCGCCCCCAGCGCACCGCGATGCCGCCGACAAGTTTGAACCGCCAGTATTGAGCCAAAATGGCTACGGAGTGTAAATATCATCGCGTCTCAGGCCAATCTAATAACTAGCGCAAATGCAAAGCAGAGCAATACACATTCAAAGAACTACCGTGCAAGCAACGCAACGTCGCAGCTCATCACGCACACACCACACAACGCAAAGCATTGCAATGCGAATCAGAAGGTTGCATGCAAATGCAGCGAGCACATCAATTTGCATGGCAATGCAAGTCAATGCGGTACACAGCACGTGTAAACTACGAATAAATCAAACGCAATGCAAAGCAACAAATGACGCTCCAGCCCGACGGAGGGGAGAAGGAAGACGACGACGACGACGACGACGACGACGACGATGGAGAGGTGGAGGTGGAGAAAGATGGGTAATGATAGTAAGACAGTTTCAGTCATGCTCACACTTCTTACGCAAATAGCACGCCTCACACAGGCACGCCTTCCGGCAGCGTCCGCGCGGTGCTTTTGAAGTGGACCCCTTCAGCCTAAAGAAGCATGCATCGGGAGGAGGTGGCGGGCCGGCATTCTCCATCCGGCTGCGAGCATTGAGCTTACCACTGGAACCCCTAGGCCTCAGAGCGACTATTTCGACGAGCGCCGCATTCACCCACGGGCCGCCCTCCTCAGACTCATCCTGGGGCCAAGACAGAAGTCCCCTCCCCCGACGACTCCCCCATCCCCCCCTCCCACCCACCTTCCTTCATCCTTCATCCCTCCCCCCTCCCTCCCTTCCTTCTTCCCCCCGCTCTTCCCATCATCCCAATCTCTCTATCGCCCTCTTTTTCCTCCCTCCTGTCCCCTCTTCCCATTTTGTTCTGCCCGAGTCTCCGCTCGGCGCTCGTTTTTCGCCTCCCAGCGACGACGTCGCGCCTCGAGCGCCCTGGAGGATCTGTCACCCCCAATGTCGACATCAGGATCCACCGAGCTCTTGGCCTCATCAATCAGGATGTTTTCGTCGTCGTCGTCATCGTTGGGTGCGAAGTCCAGCGCGTCATCATCGCTGCCCACCCCGTGAAAGCCATCCCCCACGGTCCCCCCTGCGGGCCCAGGGCGCCCACGCCCCCCCTGCTGGGCCCAGGGCAGACGGCGCTTCTTGCCCATCTTGAGCTTTCGGAGGGCTCCGAGTCGGGGGAAAGGGTTTACTTGACAACTCAGTGAAGGGAGAGAGAGAGAGAGAGAGAGAGAGAGAGAGAGAGAGAGAGAGAGAGAGAGAGAGAGAGAGAGAGAGAGAGAGAGAGAGAGAGAGAGAGAGAGAGAGAAGAGAGAGAGAGAGAGAGAGAGAGAGAGAGAGAGAGAGAGAGAGAGAGAGAGAGAGAGAGAGAGAGAGAGAGAGAGCGAGAGCGAGAGCGAGAGAGGGAGGGAGGGAGAGAGAGAGAGAGAGAGAGAGAGAGAGAGAGAGGGAGGGCAATCATAACATTGGTGACGGTGAGTGCTACGAGTACAACTCTGAGCATGCTTGTGACGGTGCTGGTAACGACGGTGATGAAGTTGATGATTGCGGTCATGATGATGATGACGATGACGATGATGATGATGATTACGATGATGGTGCTGCTGATGATGATTACGGTGATGATGATGCTGCTGATGATGATGGTGACGATGACGACGACGATGATGCTGATGCTGATGATGATGCTGATGATGATGCTGATGATGTTGATGACGACGACGACGGTGCTGATGAAAGTGGTGGTGATGGTGGTGATGGTGGTGATGACGATGAGGATGATGCTGATTATGGGAATGGTGCTGATGATGATTGCGATGGTGATGATGATATGGATGGTGCTTCTGACGATGATGTTACTTCGGGCGTAGCCCGAAATTGTTTCTCGCGAGGTAGCTGACTGAACTGGACTGAACTAAACTGGTCGTGCCTGTTAGGAGGGCGTCTTATTTTCGGCGGCCGAGGGCGCAACCTATGGCGCAACCAAAAGGAGGACGTTTTATGTTCTTTCGGCGGCGGAGGGCGCAACCTACTATGGCGCAATCGAGCAGGGCCTCAACGGCATCCAGAGACTCGGCTTTCCCCCTCCACCTTCCCTCCACTCATCGTCATGGCCATCCAGGCCCTGCTCCGCTCCATCGACCCTCTCCCCACGCCCTCCCGCATCGATTCGGCCGCTGCCCCATTCGGGGGGCGACAATGGTCGAGCAATTATGGCCAGATGTCAGACGTGGCGCGAGCGCACCTGGCTCGCGGCAACACTACCAGCGGCTCGGCTCTTAGGCACTTATGCGCTTAGGCGTTGAGCAATCGAAGTGAAGTTGGTTGCATGCTGAGCAGCACGCCGTCGCACGACGCCGTGCAAAACAAACAGCGCGCTCCATCTTATATTAGCGCCGGCTGCAAGGGAGAGATAATGGCACCAGTAATCGCAACATTATTGCTGTGATGTTATTGTTGCTGTGCTGTCACTGTTGCTGTTGTTGCAGTTGTTGAGTTACTGTTGCTGTGATGTCACTGTTGCTGTGACGCCGTGCCAAACAACGCGCATCTGCAGCCAGCCAGCCGTAGGCCGTAGTGCCTAGGGCGGTTGAAGACTAGGCGGGCTTTGCGCCTGGGCCGTCAGACCTGGGCGATGCTGCTCGCATGGCGGCAGCGCCCCCGTGCTTGACGAAAGTCCAGGACGCGCGCGCCCCCTCGGACACAGTCCGTACATCACGGCTTGTATATTATCAAGCTTCTCTATGATGGCCGTCTGCTCGGTGGCGACGTTCGTGATGTGGTTCTTGACGTCCGAGACAGAAGTTGTCATCGCCGCCAAGCTCGTAGTTAAGCCCGCAATAACTTCCTTTAGAACATCTACGGTCCTAGTCAGCTCCTCCATGCTATGATTGACTTTGTCCAAGTCCCCCTTCTTGTCCAAGTCGCCAGCGGGGCGACTTGGGGCACCACCTCCGTCGGCTCCACGCGCTGCGCTGTCGCTGCCAAGTTCGTCGCCAGCGGGGCGACCTGGGGCACCACCTCCGTCGGCTCCACGTGCATCGTCGCAACCTGCTGCGCCACTTGCTGCGCCGCGAGCGGAGGCGGTCCAGACGTTGCTGACTGTCTGTGAATCCTCGCTGGTGGAAGGGCTGTCATGAGCCTCCCAGTACCTCTTGTTGATCTCTCTGCTCTTCCAATCCGCCTGCGGGCAACTTGCCTTCATCTTGTAGCCCGGCTGATCGCACCCGTAGCAGTACCACCACGCTTGCTGCCTATGCCTCGTGTTCTCGAAGTGCAGTGGCGACTGGACCCACGTTTTGCACGCCACGCACTTCATGTATCCGTCTACCAGCTTCGCGTACGGCGAGCCACAGCGCACGCCGTTGGTCAGCATCGTTTCCGGCCACTCCTCAGGGGGGGCCTGACCGCCCGCGCCCTGCCGCTGACTCATCATCGCTGAGATCGAAACACGCGCAGGCAACGCAGGCCTGCTGAAGTCGAAAAGTGCCTCTGCAGGTAATGATTGAAGATCGCTGAGATCGAAACGGCCTGCTGAAATCGAAAAAATGTGCCTCTGAAGGCAATGCTTGAGACTTAACGTCTGTGGTGGGTGGAGGGAGTGGGGGTGGGGGCAACCCAGTAAAGCTCCAATGGAAGGGAGGGGCCCTCTGTCAGCGATAATGATCCCAGTGCGACCCTACCTAGGAGTTGGAGCCCCTAGGAAAGCAGCATAAGCTAAGCTAAGCTAAGCTAAGCTAAGCTCATATAGCTAAGCTAAGCAAAGCTAAGATGATATCAGATAGGCTAAGCTAAGGTAGGCAAAGCTAAGGTAAGCTAAGCTGAGCTAGGCTAGGCTAGGCTAGGCTAAGCTAAAGCTAATATGAGATAAGCTAAGCTAGGCTAAACTAAGCTCAGCTAAGATGATGCAAGCTAGGCTAAGCTAAGCTAGGCTAAGCTAAAGCTAAGCTAAAGCTAAGCTAAGCTAAGCTAGGCCAGGCTAGGCTAGGCTAGGCTAAGCTAAACTAAGCTAAGCTAAGCTAAGATACGCTAAGCTAAGCTAAGCTAGGCTAGGCTAAGCTAAGCTAGGCTAGGCTAGGCAAGGCTAAGCTAAGCTAAGCTAAGATGAGATAAGCTAAGCTAAGCTAAGCTAAGCGAAGCTATGCTAAGCTAAGCAGGTTGCGCAACTGGGGGAACCACGGGGCGGGGGCTGGGAGAACCGCCCGGGGCGAGTGGCACTGCCCGCCCGTTTAAGCCAAGAGAGTAAGAACCTTTTAGGCAGAGCCTAGGTCAGCGATAATGGAGCGATAATGAAGCACTCTTGGGCCCCCTCTGTCAGCGATAATGAAGCACTCTTGGGCCCCTTCTCGCGGCCGAGGGCGCAACCTATGGCGCAAACAATAATTGGAGGACGTTTTACTCTCGGCGGCCAAGGGCGCAACCTATGGCGCAACCTATAGGGCGCAACTTATGGCGCAACCAATAGGAGGGCAACGCCGACGTGGCCCTGACTGTCTGGACGTGGGACTGCGCGCGGGGCCACGCCCGATTTACGATCGCCGTTTGGGCAATGGCCGCGGGGCCCAAGCGGAGAGCTGTCGTGTGATTGGTGATTGGCGATGGCGATGATGAAGGTGATATTGGTGACGAGGGTTTTTTGGGCACTGCATCCCGCCCTCGAACCCCGTTCAAGTAGAAATGCTCCCAGAGGTGCGTATCCACACCCGTCGTCTACTTGATGTAGCCAGCTGCTTCCAGAACCATCCGTTGGATCCGGCTCAGCACGGGCACCGTCATAGCATTGCCCACCATCGTGGCGAACTGCCTGTCCGTGGCGGTTGCGCGCTTCATGTTCGTAGGGAAGCCTTGGAGCTTGGTGAGATCCTTTGCCGTCGTCATGCGCTGCCGCGCTGACAAGTAGTAGCCGCCTCCGCTAGCGCGAGAACGCGTGATGGCAGGGCACCGCTCCTTCATGCAGCCCTTGGCGAACTGCTCGCTGGCGGAAATGTCGAACGCGAACATCGTAGACTTGGGATTCTTGCCAGTCTCCTCCTGGGCCAGCTCCCACAGCCGGACGAGGTTGGCTTGCTGGGTCTGCGAGCTGGGGGTCCACTTCGGAGCGCTGTTCGGTTTGAGGAAGTCGCTCAGCTTTGGGCGCGGGATGGGTTCTGGCCAATCGAACTTGACGTTGTCAGGGCCGCCGACGGCCAGCGAGCGATCAATGCCACATATGTAAGGCCTCGGGCGGTTCTGGGGGACTCCTCCGATCTCCTCGGCGTTGATCTCCTTCCACTCCACGTGGTAGACGCGCCTGTTTCTGCACGTCACGTCCCTGAGCATTTTGATGAGCTTGTCCAACGCTGGACGCCTCTCCCCAGTCGCCAGGCCGACTACCTCCTCAACGATGAAGGTCTCGGGCTGGCGCGAGACGATGTAGCCGGCCACGTCGTACAAAAGCGGCCCGCGATTGCTGTTGTCCTCGGCGGTGCCCTTGTCAGCGAGAGCGCCGCGGGCCCCCTGCAAGCTCCATGGGCCACAAGGCGGACCAGCGCAGTAGTGGCCCGCGCGAGGGGCACCTCCCACCCGCCTGGGGATTCGAAAGACACGCCCGGATCCATACATGCGTACCCCCTCTGTATCCCCCGTCGCCCGCAGGCCGTTGGAGGAAGGCGACGGGGGTCAAATGCATGGGTTCGGGGATCCGAATCGCATATCTTTCAAGCAGCACGAGTCGTACATCTTCTCCACCTTGGGGTGGTTCGCCTCGTAGACCGCCCGCGTCTTCTCATCCTTCTCCGAAGCGAACTTGCGAACGATCCGCGAGGCGAGACCAAGGGGCCCGAGCGCAAAGATCTCCGCACCCAATCCGCTGCAGTCACTGCCCACAGTGATGTTGGCCGTGGAGCGGGCATCAGTGTCTTCAAGTTTCGTCACCTTTTTTTTTTCGTGCCAGAATGGCCGACATAATCATCATCCTTCTCAGGGGGCCCCGCCGTCTTGGTCTTCTTGGGAGGCGGACTGGGTGCAGGAGGTTGGCCCGCAGGGCGTCTGGCACGGTAGCCCGAGGCTTCAAGACGTCTTCGTAGAACCGCAGCTTTCTGTTGTCGTCTGAGGCGAGTGTCATCCCATGGATCGTCCATAGCGCTCGCGGCGCCTGCAGCCCAGTGCGATGCTCCAGACCCCAGGCGGCATAGAAGAGCCAAAACGGCTGCAGGAGTAAGATGAGCGAGGGAGGAGGAGTGAGTGATGAGGAGGGAGCGAGGACTGAAGGGGGGAGGATAGAGACGGCACTACCGGCGAGCTCTCTGGGGGCGGCGCCGGCAGCAATCATCGTAGCACGTACAGGGCTGACTTCGAGCTTGGGGAGGGGCCGCTGCTCAGGGTGGTGGTGTCACCCCCTCCTCCTCCTCCTCCTCCTCCTCCTCCTCCTCCTCCCCCTCCTCCCCCTCCTCTTCCTCCTCCTCCTCCTTCGCCTCCTCCTCCTCCTCATCATCATCATCATCCTGCTCTTTTCGGCGTTCGCCCTCGCCCTATCCTCGTCATCATCTTCAGGAGAGCTTCGCGCGCTAGAAGGCTGAGGTCCCCCTTCGAGGAGCTCCAGAGTGGGGCCATACGGATGACTCCTGCAACGCGCTCGTGAGGAGGAGAGCGGAGGATGGGGGGGCTAAGATCATCAGGAAGGAGGTTCTAGTCAAGAGGAGGAGGAGGAGGAAACCGTGTTTCATTTCACCATTTCTGTGGGCTGGCATATCGTATGTAATATTGGCATGTCGTATGTAACCGTGTGTCATGTCACCATTTATGCTATCCAAGCTGTGCGGCGTCGCATCGCCCCCGTCAGCTCGCCCGCGCAACTCTAAAGTCAACGCGTCGCCAGCGCGCCATGGAAGAAGCGCAACCATGGCGCACACATCAGAGGGAATGCCGCCTCCACTGCCGTGAGACAGACGTTTTAAATCAAAGATGGAGAGAGAGAGAGAGAGAGAGAGAGAGAGAGAGAGAGAGAGAGAGAGAGAGAGAGAGAGAGAGAGAGAGAGAGAGAGAGAGAGAGAGAGAGAGAGAGAGAGAGAGAGAGAGAGAGAGAGTGAGAGAGAGAGAGAGAGAGAGAGAGAGAGAGAGAGAGAGAGAGAGAGAGAGAGAGAGAGAGAGAGAGAGAGAGAGAGAGAGAGAGAGAGAGAGAGAGAGAGAGAGAGAGAGAGGAGAGAGAGAGAGAGAGAGAGAGAGAGAGGAGAGAGAGAGAGAGAGAGAGAGAGAGAGAGAGAGAGAGAGAGAGAGAGAGAGAGAGAGAGAGAGAGAGAGAGAGAGAGAGAGAGAGAGAGAGAGAGAGAGAGATCATTACTTACTTGTCTCAGCTTAGCCTTGAACAGGGAGGTGGATTGGAGAGGATAGGATCAGGAATGTATTATTATGTCTGCACGCCGCGGCCTACGGCCAAGAGAAAGTGGCCACAGCCTGGCAACGGCTGGCCGGCTGCCCCAGCGTTGCACACCAACAGTCAACAAATCACGAGTCGGTTGCCCCAGCATTGTTGTGCACCAGCAGCGGCAACAAGTCACGAGTCGGTTGCCCCGTCGCTGTGCACCAGCAGTGGCAACAAATCACGAGTCACCGGCCTCATCCTCCTCCTCAGCATCCTCCTCACCATCGGTGCCCATCAAACCCTTGAGCTTGTTCATGAGGCTGGTCTTGTTGGAGCCGTCAGTCCCCTTCTTGTTGGCGCCTGCCTTGGGGGTCTTCTTGGCCTCCTCAGTCTCCTTATCACCCTTCCTCGCCTTCTTCTTCTTGGGTTCCTGGCCACCCCCGCCGCCACCATCACTGTCGTCTCCATTATCGCCCTTCGCGAACTCATCCCTGTAGAGCACGTCGTCGGGATCCTGGACCGCTGTTTTCGCTTGCTGCAGGAGGTGCTTGAGCAGCTCCTCTGTGTGAACGTCAGAGCACGTGATACCCGCGTAGGGCAGCCTCTTGCGCATGCAGGCTAGTGCGAAATGACCAGATGCGGGGCTGAAGTCAATGACGCTCTTCGCAAAGTACGAGTGCACTATCTCGTCGCAAGGCAAGTAGGGCTTCTCGTGGAACCAGACTGGCTCCGCACCCTTCGTCGTCCACTTCGAGTTGGCGGCCAGCCCCGCATCAATTGATCCACCCACTTCCACCTTGAAGCGGCCCATCAAGGCCTTCTTCTCCTTCCTGGACAGCTTCCACACAGAGTCTGAATCCCAGTCCTCAACTGAGATAGGTCCCATTTGGTCGCTGAAGTTGCTGCCTTTGTAGTGTGCGTGCGCCCTGCGAGTGCAAGAACATCCGGTGCTCGATGCGACGTGCACCGACTCTGTGAGCATCAGTGCCCCCATCGCGCTGACGCGACCGATGTTCGTCAGAACGGACTCCTCGTCGTACGTGAGCATGACCTGGAACTTGTTACGATTCGTCGCCCTCTTGAAAGGCTTCATCGGCGCGGTCTCAACCTGCCGGCCGCCATCAAACAGCAACCACAGGTCGTCAGGTCCAAGCAATTCCGAGGGGTCAGGATCTGGAATTTTTCGCGCGGTCAATGGAACGGGCCACGCACCCTGCGTTCACGCACCTCTCAATCATGTCGGTGGGAATCTGGGCTTTGCGCAGGTGCGGGTGAGCGCTGCTCTCCGTCACGTTGGCTGGGTCGACAACGATTAACACGGACCCTTTGCCCGCAGGAACTTGGTGCTCCTTGCGCGTGTATTTGCCGGCTGCAGTCTTCGCGATCAACTCCCCCAAGGCTTTGTCAGAGCCGCCCTTGTCCGCAATCAACGCCACGTGCGTATTGATGAGCCGGGCGCAGTGTGCTGTGAGCTGGTCCTCTGGTTCTGTGGGCAGTTCCTCCTCGTCGTCGGATGGGTTTGGCATATCATCTGCGATGGATCGCACTCTCCTGATCATGCTAGCTGGCAGCGGCTTCTTCTCAGGCACAGGTGGCTCAGCAGCAGCGTCATCATGTTCGTCGTCTTCCGCCTCGCCCGCGCCCTGGCAGAAGCGGAGAACACAACAATGTTAGGCGCGGCGACGACGACGACGAGGCCGCCGACGACGACGACGCCGACGCCGACGACGGCGACGACGACGACGACGACGTCGACGACGCCAACCTTCGACGAAGACGACGACGACGACGACGACGACGACGACGACGACTACGACGGCGACGACGACGACGACGACGACGACGATGACGACGACGACGACGACGACTACGACGACGACGACGACGACGACGACGACGACGGCCCGCGCCATCAGGCTGTCCATACTGATGCTTTCATGGCCTCCATCCTCCCCCGATTGGGGAGGGGGAGGTAGAGTAGGTAGTGTGTGTGTGCGTGTGCGTGTGCGTGTGTGTGTGTGTTCATAGACTTGATCTCCCCCCGTCCTTGGCCCCCTCCTTCGCGCGCTCCGCGATGGGCTCCAAGAACTCACTGAACTGGTTGGCCACCGCGTCTGCTGCCATCGAGTTGCACTTGAACCCCTCCTTGATGTGGCCGTCGTACATGGTGTCGAACAGGACGTTCTCGATGAAGACGAAGAGCTCCCCGCACGAGTTGCGCCACCCGGCTCTGAACGTCATGTCGTGCTTGTCGTTGGGGAAGCCGCATTTTGCCCTGTAGCTCTGTATGCTGCCCAATACTGACTTCATCTCGACGAGGGCCTCTGCTGGAAATGGATAGGCCTGCACCCAGTCATTCAGGATGTAGTGAGCGACGTCCCACTTGAAGAGGATGAGGTCGACCAAGCCCTTGCCTGAGCTGCCGGGCGTCTGGCCCATGAAAGATGCGTAGGACGGCGGGGTGGTGATGAACCCAACCTTGTGGGCGTCCAAGATATGCTCCACGACCTTCATGATCTTGTCTGGGGTGCCAGCCTTCGAGATGATAGCCTGGAGCTTGCTGGTACCCTCCAGCGGATTCGTTCCAGCAGGCAGGTCGTCCGCTTCAGTGAGTAACTTTGCCACGCCAGGGATGCCATACATCCTGTTCAAGAAAGTGCACGCTTGATCCACCCATCCAGGTGTGATTTTCTGTCCTGGCTGACAAGTCAAGATGCTGCTTGTGCAGCGATGCCAGCTCAGATACTGAACACTTTCCCTTCGCCTCCTGGCGGGATTTGAAAGCGCCAAAGTTCAGGGCACGCATCAAAGGCGTGCAGCGCAACGCCTCGTAGTCAGTCGCGATGTTCTCACGGCCCTGCATGGACTGCCACATGATGTCATCATTGACCATATGGTTGATGCTCACAACGGAAGTGATGCAGAAGCGGGTCCACGCCTGGATCTCCTCCTCGTCTTTCTAGCGCACCGCCATGGCAAACCCAGTCCACCAAACATGAAGGTGCTCCAGAGGAAAGCATACTGGCACAGTGCCATCCGTCAGCATGGCAGCCATGTCCTGCTTGGAAATATCCTTGTCGATGCCGAGCTTGAGATGCTCGCACTTGCGCGGCCGCAGATAGTATGCATTGACCAGCTGAGTTTTCTTCTTGCTGGACATTGGCAGCTCGGGCGTTGGGGACGCGAAGGACAGAAGGGCCAAGTTGAACCCGCAATTGTAAACTCCCGTGTTGCTATACATGCTCATCATGGTCTCCAGTTTGAACCCCACGGTGGAGCCTCCTTCCGCTAGGCCAAGGGGCGCCATGCTCTTGAAGTCTGGCACATGTTCCACGACAGTCTTCACATCATTATGCAACGTCTGGTAGTAGGAGGCGTTGTCGGCCCGATGTCCGGCAGTCGGCGTAGTGGTGACTGACGACGGCCCACCTCCGCTGCCACCTGATCCCGCCTTGGCCTTGGCCTTGGGGGCTCCCTTCGTAGGCATATATAT